CTCAACTAGCAGAGGCTCTTTTTGATGGTCAATATGTTGGAGTTTGTAAGAGTTATCTTATGCTGGACTCCAGTTCTCATGGACACAGGCTGTACATGTAGTACTGAAAATATGTAACGATTTTTCTCAACAGTGTAGACTAGACTATGAGCACAGAAACTATTCCCTTTAAGAGGAAAGACAGGAAACTGAACCAGGAATTGTTGAGGGCAAAATGTTCTGCAAGTTTGAACAATAAAAGTGTAAGTTAATATGGCTAATCTCCAGAGATCTCAGCACAATTAGGTATAATGCAGGGCAGTAGAAATTAATTCTGATTTCCCACACTCCAGCTCTGCTCAAACCAATAAATCTCTTTCCTGGTTTATACCATGTACTGTCTGACAAAACAACTGAGCAAAATAAAGTTGTATTATAGGAAATCACAGCCCAGGTCATACCAGCCATAGATTCTAGCAGATGATGACTCCAAAGCTAAAGCACCTGTATTTCATCCTCTCCATGACAGTATTGTGTGATGGTCATGATCAGTGTACAAACTGTAAGAAAATATTTTCAAATATGGGTTCTTATATATTTTAAATGTAACGATTTCTCTTCGCGAGCCTTACTCTCTTCTCCAGCAGATGTATGGCTAGAAGTACTCCCAGAAACAAAGTAAAAATTAAGCATAGAGAAAATTTTACTCATTAAAAGCAGACAATCTATTTCAATTTGAAAAAAAAAAAATACATATATAAGTGTGTGTGTGTGTATATATATGTGTGCATATATATATATATTTTAACCTTGATGCATGATCTCCAGAGAATCAACTGCAATAAAATACTGCAAGAAGAGTACCTAATCAAAAAAGAAAACTGGCAAGCTAACATTTACAATAAAATCTGTTTTAATTATGAAGTTTTCCCACTAAGGATAATTCTTATATCATAATCAAGACAACCACTGAAACCAAAGTAGTCGGACAGCAAGGCTCCAATCCCACAAAGGTTATCAGGTCCAGGAAGTCTGATAGGTATGATGAATGCATGCTTCATCCTACTACCAGGAGAAATTTAGAGCAAGGATTTGTTCTGTTTGGCTAAAAAGAGGATGATCTCAACCATACTCATGTCAGAACATGTCAACTGGTTTCTTAACTTACTGAAAAAGTACGTTAATTGGCAGGTACTGGCAACGCACGTTTCACAAGTCTTTATCAAAAACGTATTGTCTCCCCTAGTGGAGTTTTATGTGCAACAAAAACAGTTTTTGAAATAAAATCTAAACACATCCTAACTGCAAAGGAAACAGTGAGATGTTGTAAAACAATTTGCACACCAATTTTAATAAAAGCTCTTTGCAAAGATCACTTTTTCCTCATTTTAACATCAGTTGTGGACCAATCTTTTTCTAACTGTTATATCAAACTCCAACGTTTCACAATGTAAAAACAAGAAAGAACATGATCATTGTGATCTAACTATCTTTGTTTGCATCTCGGTAAGAGCAATGCTCGGTGAAAACTAGAATGGACTGGAAAAAACTAAACATACCACAATACCAGTTTCAGTCAGTCCTCTTCCACTTGACAAAAAACAAGCATTAAAATATTGTATATCAAGTGTTATTAGCCCTTGAAGTTAAAGCAGCAAAAGAAAATGGTTTAAATATTATTGAGAAATATGGGTTACTTGCAAAACCAGAATAGTTTGAAGCTTGTCTTGCCCTTCCATGGCTAAGCAGAATAAACAACTGCTATAGATCACATCTGAAAACATGTGTAAATCAGTCCAGTTCATTTGCAGACTCATTCTATAAATGGCTATTAAGTTGAGTTTCATTTTAGTAATTCCTTGCCCGAGAAACAAAACAGAGCACTTATGACAAGCTCACTTTGCTTCTGAACTACCCTTAGCACCAGCCTCCTCAAAAGGTTCATTCCAACTTCAAATTCTCTCTTCTCCTGTCATCACTTTAGCCTTATTTTGTGAATCTTTATTCATTAATTCCTGTACATTGTTGCTGAAGTGAAGACACTGAAAAAACTGGGAAGACATTTTGTCTAGCCAAAAAGTCCTAAGATACCTTCCCAAACGATTTAAAAATCGAAAGACAGCAAGTGAAGTGTGCAACTGCTCCCTGCTGTGAGACTACTGAGGAGGAAGGAAGCAAAAATCTGTAGCACAGGTGGAATATTAGTGCATATTTATCAATGAGGAAAAGCAATCAGGTTACTGGTAGTCTACACAATGTCAGTCACTAAGTACTTTTCCACCATATCAGATAGCTAGAACATGGAACCAGGTATCAGCAGGGGAATTTCACAGATGCTTACACTGGGACTTTACCTTGTAAATAGGGCTGACAGGACGTGAAATGTACGGATAACATGTTTAAGTATCCTTAATATGCAGGCAGAAATAAATTCACAAAGACAAGAGAAAGACAGACCTTGTGATTTCATCCTGACACTCTTACTACTACTCTTACACAATTATATCCACAACAAAAGCATCGAGATGTGAGAGGAACCTTTAGAAAAACTTCCCACCTTTGGTCAATAGAATCACAATTTCCAATATGTTCAGTGATGCTTTGGACCCGATGACAATGACTATTGCAAACCATCTATAATCCAACAAAATTCACTCCAGACACAGACTAGAACTGCATTCTGGGTATTAAAACATCTTCTATTTTAACTTAATTTTATGGAGTAACAGTTAATATAGATATCTTACAGACCATTTGAATTAAGGGGGGGGGGTTTTGTTTGTTTTATTGTGAATGTTTAGGGGGGTTTTTTGTTTGGTTGGTTTTGGTTTTTTGGTTTTGGGGGTGGGGTTTTTTTGTTGGGTTTTTTTTGTTCGTTTGTTTGGTTTTTACAAACTAGTGTTGTTTCCTGATTTCATACTTTAAAATTACTGTTTAAGCTGTCCATAACGTCAAGTGCATTCTCTGTAGAAGGAGAAAGCTATCCTGAAATGATTATTTTATGATATTAGTAAAATGGACAACAAGAAAATCAATTCCAACTTTAACAGACTATTAACGTCAGTTTTAAAGCTTTATTAGGCAAAACTCCCTAGTGTTAACATCTCTAAGTTCATGTCAGAGAAAAAAAACAAAATAAAGCAAAATCATGTTTCTGGAAGCTGTAATGGCAAAGCTGCTTTTTCACCTGCCATCCCTGGTGCCAACGTGGTGCTGCCAGTGGGCCCCACCAAAACGGTTCATTTGTGTGAAGGGACTAAAGAGAAAGGAGACCCCTGATGGCTGCTGTGATATTTGCACATTCTCTCTACAGAGAATGAAGTGATGCTGGCAACAGAATTCAGGTGTGAAAAGATATTTACCGCTAAATGTGAGAGTCTATTTTCTCCACACATACCCAGTATTAATATACACCGTGCAGCTTTTAGCACTGTCTAGGTAGACATAACTAGAGTGTTGTAAGCTACACCCTGAAAAACCATGCCCTGGGTCACTTTTTACAAGGACCACACAAAAGATGACTTTATCACTAAGGTTGGGTCAGGGAATGTCAGAAACATGTCTTCACAATTCTTGCAGAAATTCGACTACAGAAAACCCATGCACCTTTAAAAGTCACCTGCGATCAGATAGTTTACTTTTTCCCTATATACCTAGCTCTTACTTTCTCTATGCCTCAGCTCCTCATCAGGAAAAACAATTATAACAGTATCTCCCTACCTTATACATGCTCATGTACAATAAGGTGACAAGGATGAAAGATCCTAGATATAAGCTTACAATATATGTTAACATCTTTCTTCTTCACCGGCCCAAAAACGTAATCTATATATTCCAACCACCAAGAGAACAATGTGGTTGATTCCTAACCCCTAATCTGACAACAAAACTCTTTACACTTTGTGCAAATCATCATGCAGCTAACAGTCCTCATCTGTTGAGCTTGCACTTTATGTGTAAGCTCTAGAATTAAAGCAACTGATGGTGATAGTGTCCATAGCAGCAAAGCTAATAAACAGGAATCAGCATCAATTGGAGTAAACGAGAAGACATTTCCTTTTGACTATATACCCAGCTGACACAGACTTCATTCACGAGTTTGGACAGTTCGTGATCTCAGCTCTTCCAGTCACCAAATACGTAAAATCTCCCTCTCAGAGGAATTGTCAACTTAGTTAAAATATTTAAAACATTTTGGACTTAATGCTTCCCTCACATTTTGAGCGATTAAAATTTATCTACAAACCAAAGCTTCTCTTGAGATAAAGACAGACTCTTGAACTTCTTCTTTAATACAATTTAAATGCCATGTAGAAAAAAGAAACAAATACACACTGTGATTTCATCAAAAATATGTTATATATGAGAGTAGGCAGTACACCTGCATTCAGGGAGAGCTTTCATCCCAGGGTGCATCAAGAAAGCAGAGGGGACACAAGACAAAGTGAAACTAATGAAAGTGGAGTTTGACTACACTGGTAGAAACTGTCAGTCTCCACTCATGGCAAATATCACATGATCTTTACATGAAAAAGCAGATAGTCAAAAACCTCAATTTCACATTTCAGGAGATCTGCTGCAACCCAGGATGGGGAGGCATTGATCACCGTGGATGCTAAAGATCCTATAATATATTACACAACAGCATGTACATTAACATAGTAGGTTGGAGAAAATCCACTTTGAGTTAACTGAAGTCTGCCTACTGAAGTGTTCTTCTGCAACCGCAATCATATGCAATATTCTTAACTTCCTGACCTGATGGGTAACGTGGTAGTGATGAACAGCTGCTGTTCAACACATTTAGCTGCACCAGTGATGGGTAGAGACACAACATTGAAAAGTAATGGTGAATGCATATGTCTAGCATAAAGAAAGAAGAGGGTTGAATAATCAAAATATTAACATGAGCACAATGGATGCTTCTGCATTCCAAAAGATTTCATAGTAAGGCAGGTGTATGAACCTACACTCCAACCGTAAATAAAGGAAAATAATTTAAATACAGTACATTATTTTACCTGTCTTTGCATCTCTTCAATCTGTCGCTGGGGGACACTTTGCAGAATACTGTACATTTCAGGCATCTTTTCTTCAGGGATGACAACAGAGGCCCTATAAGCAAAAAACAGAAAACAAATGGTAAGATGAGAAGAAAGAAGTTCTACATTAAAAGATGTCAACAGTTTTTCCAACCCAGAATCTTGTCCTATTCTAATAAGACACATTCAGAAGATATTAGCAGAAAGAAGCAGTCTTCTCTCAGTGTAATTAATTATTCTGTAGCAGTTCCTTCACAACACCAGCCAGTCTGCCCACAGATAATGCCACAAAAGTCTGTGGACTGATCTGTACAGACAATCTAATAAATATGGAAGGGACAGAGCCCCAGAAATCCTGAATTCTCATCTCTGGATTGCCACTGACTTGCTGTCAGATAAGATTTTTGGAGTGACCAAACAGTAATAATGTATACAGTGCTATGTATACAAACTAGTAATTTTTGTACGTATTATCCTAAGATCACGTAACTGGGCATAGTGCCTGCATGGAAAAATAATCTAAGCTCTTAACACAGTGTACTCAGCTACAAAATAATTATACCTTTCAGTCTCAGATGAAATTAGGAATCATGATACAATATACAGAATTTAGCATTTACATGATGCAATTTTTAGCATATACTTTCCTTAAAAGATCCTGAATACAGACCAGTCCTCACTGAATTCAAGCACAAGATAGTAAGGCAAGTCTGTTTTAGAAAAAATATGATCGGCTACAGGATAACCAAACGCTCTGTCATCTCTGCCTCGTTTGTTTTCCTCTGCTATTTTTGATGCATCATATATCAAGGGCAAAGACTGCATGTATCTTACTCCGTATTCTATTCCCTGTAACCCCCAGTACACTTGACTTATCACACAGATTTTATTCAAATCACTGAATGCAGTGAAGTCTCTTAGGCAGTGGTTCGATGTACAATAGTGAGGGTACAGACCTCTTCCAGTCCAGAACCTCAGAGAAAGGTAAAATGTAGGAGTCGGCAATGATGACTGGGACACAGCCAGCTTGAAGAACATCGCTTAGCACAGCCTGTCCCAGGCGGGCTCCACGTAGAACTACACAGAACGTAGACTCCTGTCAACAAATGGTATCCAACACACAGATAAGATAAAAAAAGGAAATGTTAGATTTGTATTATATGTGTGTGTGCATATGTATGTATATATGTATTATGCTTTTATGCCCTTCCCCTTGTAAAAAAACAAGTCAAAAAGAAAATAGGCTTGCTCCGTGCAACCAATGTATTCTGAATTATTAGCTAATCCAAAATAATTAAGCAACCTTATTTTCCAGAGGCTCAAAAATATTGTAAGTGGAGAGATAAGAAATAAGCTAATGGAACTATTCTATGCTTTATTTTAATGGCCGAACTTCAGAATTCTAACTGAGAAAATTCAAAGGGAAAAATAAATTAAACATTTTGAAAGTGCGGCATAACAAGATGAGCAACAATTAACATGAACTTACTGAGTACAAACTGTATGAAGCCAACCTAATTTTCTTCCATTATAGGGCAATCCAGCTCTATGGATAGCAGAGAAGTAATAGATTTCATATCTTAACTTTAAAAGGCATTTGACATCTTTGATAGCATTTTCATAGGCAAATTAAGAAATCATGGGCTAGATAAAGCCCTCATAGGCTTTACAGTTACATAAATTACAGTTGCAGAACTCTAAGTATAAAGCAGTTAGCAGTGGCTCACAGGTAAAACAGCGATGGACCAAATAATCTTTCCCAGGTGCAACAGTGTTCAATGTGCCGCTTAGTTAACCGAGTAGCAGAATTAAGACCATATTTATTAGATCTGATAATACCTATGATTTTGTAGGATTAGCAAGCATAATGGACAACAGGATTAGAGTTTGACATTATATGGATAAATTGACTAAAAAATACCGATACATATAGGGCTCAACACTTAGATAAAAATAACCAACTGCACAAATATAAAGCACAAAGTAACTGGCTAGGTTTTGCACTATGCAGAAGAGGACATTTCCTACAAAAGGACAGGAAAATAAAGGGTATTCAACGTGTCAGCAATGTTGTGCTGTTGAAAAAACAAACCACTCCACCCACAGGTTGTATTAGAATGCAAAAAGAAGTATAATCTAAGAGACCTGAAGGAATCACTCACTCTTCTCAGTAATAAAAGACCTCAGAGCAGTGTGTTCAGTCTTGGGCAATGCACTTCCAGGGGTTAAAAAAAAAAAAAAAAAAAGGATGATTGCTTACCTTGAAAGTATGACCTACAAGGAAAGATTGACTATATCAATACTACTTATTCTGAACAGGTGAGGGCAGGAGGAAGATGGCTAAAGGGAGCTTCAAAGATACAAAAGTTGTTGCAAAAAGGAAGAATATAATCCTTACTTACTCATGTCCATAACACACAAGACAAAAAGCCATGAGTTTAAACTGCAGCAGAGAAGACTTCTTGACTATGCTGCACTCACCCTGTAAACAGGGACTTTAGTTCTCACTGCCACTGAGGAATCTTGCTACAGATTCAAGATCGCAAAATAAATGCTTGCAGAGTTCAGCTACACAAACAAGGAAAAAGCCCAAGTCAGTATTATCCCTAAGTCTAAGAAAGAAAAATTATAAAGTTGATACAGGGGCTCCCACAGATAAGAAAATATCTTTCCAGCTTGCGTTGTGTGGCCTGAGGAAAAGGAGCCAGGTGGCTCAGCAGGGCAGCAAAACACCAAAATGGAACTAGGAAATACAAGGGGGTTTGCTGGCTCTTCACTTGCTTCCTAACGCGATCGTAAGACCTATGTTCATATCCATAGAGTCCTAAAAGCCTTGAAAATCTCATCCAAGAGAAGATTGCAAAGAGGAAGCATTAGCAACCCAGAAGCCCAAGAGCCTGTCTAGTAGGAAGTCTGTAAAGGCAGTGCTGGAAAAGATGAACTGTGATCGCAGTCCCCCTTCCTCCGCCCTCAGACAGGAAGAGAAGGAAAAGAAGGGTGCGGGGAATGGAAGGAGCGGAGAGAATGAACACACGTTTTAACCATTGACTCACTAGATCACACAGCAGCAGGTGGAAGAGACTCTGGTAAGGTCTGAGAGGGGAAAAAAAAGGCAGCCCAGATGTGGACACACATGCTCATCTGCCCAGATAACCATTTTTCCTGTCTAGACAAAGGTTACTATAAATACATCTCCTCGCATCACCACTGTTATCAGCCAGACATTCCAAAGGGAGATGCAGGGCTCTGCAAAGGAAAGTATTTTAACAATCACGGCATGTGCCAGCTCTCTTCTGAGTTATAAAATCATATACAGCAAGATATAGATATAGATTCCCTGACTTGCTATCCTTGAGAAATCCAGTCTTTTAAAGAAATCTAATTTAAAGAAATAAAGCAAACAAGTATTTTTTTTTCCCCCTTTTGGCTGAAAGTTTAGGACTCGGAGTGACCCTTTCCTCCCTTTCCCCATCCTCCACAAGGAATTTTAAACATATTTCCTACAAAACATAACAGGAGGGGTGGAAACTTTGCCTTTCCTCAACTTGTTTGTTATTTTATCGTCATTTGCTGAAGTTCAAAGACAGATTATGTGCTGGTGGCCACAGAGAGAGCAGAGTGGCCTATGGCATAACTCACTTCACCACACTGCATGCCAAAGCACCTCTCTGTTAGTGAATTGCCAAGAGACACAGGGGTCTGAGAACGCTATCTGGTTTTATCTTCACTGACACATCAAAAGGCCTCTGGAAGTTGGGCCAAGGCCATGAAACACATTTCACCTAGATGTTTTCATAGCTGCATGCTGACAAGTCTTCTAGCTCAGTCTGTCATATCTGTACAGATGATTTTGTAAGGTTTAACTACTAAGCTGCATACAAAAAATATAATCTGACCAACTCTCCTTAAACGTAGCAATCTTTTTTGCCCGCAAATAAATCCACACATAAGCTCTTTAAAGTTCATTTCAATCTTCCCTCCAATTGACAAAGACATCCTCTCTTCCAAGCTTCACCTAGCAAGGCCTGGACTGTCATATGTGAGAAATCAATGCCAAACTCATGCCTGCTGAAGGTCATTTTGCCAGTTATTCTGGAAGGTGTAGATTCCAATGTTCTTCCCCAATTTTAAAGTGAGCAATTTCATCTGGCCTGCGGAAGTTTTTCCTCCCATTGCTGCTGGATTTGGCAGTATCTTCGTATCATTTTTTAAGTTCACATGACATTGTCATGCGTTACGAGAAGACCACCATGACCAATCTCATGAAGTTGTTACACATAACCAGAGTTTTCAAATTGCAGCGTAGTCTGCATATCAGTTTGAGTACATAGTTGTTGGGCCTCTTAAAAATAAGAATAAAGTTAGGATATAATATCCAAGCTAACATAAGGAATTATGCGGCTTCAAAACATAGCCAGCAAGTTAACTAAATACAAGGAAGTACCCTACCAGTGCTAAACAGGAACAGCTCCACAGGTAACACAGTCACCAAGAAGAAGAGAAGTTTGCAGGAGAGACAGCCTTACCTGAAGCACTTGAGGATAATCAAAGACTTGATTCTTGTGACAACGTTTGCGAACAGCAGGGACCCCATCTGACAGATTTGTACATTTGTCTAGGATCAACACTGATTCCCCGTTCTCAGCTTGAAGAGCTTCCAACTCAGACCGGTATTCTGGGTGCAGAGCCATCTGAGATGACAGAATGAAATACCTGCGAGGACTGAAAAACCACAGCAAGGTTACCTGACAGCACTGTGAGTTTACTTCCAAGATGCTCTAGAACACATTTCCTTCCATCCTGGAAAAGCAGAGCAAGATTAACTAAACGTGGACACACTGTCACACTCCGTATTTTCAGACACGGCTGGAAAGGGTAATGATGCAATATAATTATATCTTGGATAGTAAGTGGCTCAGCATTATTTACAACTTTGAATAAATTTGTACTTAGAAAGAGTGCTTATTACATTAGAATAGGCACTTGCATTATAACCTCTATTATAAACCGAAAGAAACATAATTTAGCTACATATTAAAACAGCTTGCTACTGATGCCAGGATTGTTTGTTCTTTTGTTTGGTGTTTGTGTACTATAACAGAGTAGATAGGACACTGAATGCTGCTGCTAGTTTCTCCTCCCATATATTTTCTCATCAATTTTAATTGAAAAAAGATGCTGAACTGACAACTCAGCTACCCTGTGCTTATTCAGTCTTGATATGGTGACAGCAGCCACAGGACAAGCTCATCTCATCAGCTGTGATTCAGTTCTGTCCCTTTCGGGCAGCATAAAGGCAACATTTCCAGTTGAAGGCCCATTACCCCATTCACTCTCAACTCCTCCCATGTTCCAAAAACATTAATATTTAAAATGTGCCTTAATACTGAACTGTTTCAAGACACTAATTAACATTGGAGGTAAAACACACAGGAATACAGTCTCAAATTAGGTGCTCACTGCTTTAAAAGTTATGTTAATGTTGGAAAATAGCATGTCATATAATTGTTATACTCATTCTCATCTACTTTGGTTTCCTTTTTAAGCGGGTCAGCTAAGTCAGACTGCTCCACTGCTCCCCATTGAAAGGAACACACAGCGAGTGCCTGCCCTCACGCTGCCAAAAGTACACAGGAAACCCAAGGCCTGCACTTAGGATTCCAGTTCCACTCCACGTGATGCTATCTTTAATTTACAGCTCTGAAAAGACATACAAACACACAATTTATAAAGTCAGACCTCTCCTGCTGCTCTTCTCACCTCTCCTACTCATTTTCATGCTGGTCACTTCAGTTGCTCCAATTAACAGATGAGACTTGCATAGCATTTTTTTTAAGCATTCTTTTTGCCAAGCCTCCCACTGCTACCAACTTGCTACCAGCAGCTCTACAGAATATATGTTTCTAGCAGAGGTAGATTTCAAGTATTTTAAACAATCCAACTAAAAAGGAGAGTAAATCAAAACCCCTCAGTTCAGCTCTGTAAGAGGAATAAAAAAGGGTTTGCCTTAAAAAAAGGAAATACTGCCACAGATGAGTGATAATAAATGCCTATAACCAGCTAAAAATTACGCAGGTTTGTTTGTGTATATGTTTAAAACCAAATTTTGCCTTGAAACTGTCATCATCCTATGACACTCAAAATCTAGCTATCAAATCTTACTACAAAAGAAAGTACGTCCCAGCTCCCAGGAAATAACACACTAGTGTAGTGGAATGTAGTAATTTACCCCAAGCAAGCCTGAATTCTGAGCATCATTCCCTTGTCACACTCCTCCTGCATAAAGCAATCGAACCTGTGAATGCACTTCTATTACTAATGCTAACTGGCCACTAGATGGTACTCCAGAGACGACAGTCTGTTCCTCGAAAAAAACCCACCCCTTTGAGAAGGTTGGAAGCTCCAACACCTTCACTGAACACAGACTCATGCATTGCATCAGCTCCCACATAACAGCTTCTCTTATCCGACCTAAAACCAGACATAGCATTTATCTGACTACGTGGACACGAACAATATGACTGCATCTCTCTTCACAGTTGGTTTTATACGTGCTGAAGCCTACCATCACGTTCATGCTTTCCAGACAGAAATACAAAGCGCACTTTCACTCTGTGTGGGACTGTAATAATACTTGAGATCTATGAAGAATCAATTGGGATGCAACCAGATGCCCCTACGCTGGCCTGGGCCAGGAGCGTCAATCAGTGGACACGTCATTTATGCTCATTGCCTCAGTCTGCCCATCTTTTAAACCACAACAGAGGTAAGACCTTGCTACAGCAAAATGTTTTCAGCTGTGCAATTAAGAGGCTTATGAAATATTAAAAGAGCAGTCTTCCATAATCAATTAAAACATGTCTTCCAGACTTCTACCTACTCTTGTTCTGAAGACATGAATGGATTAAAGAAACCACCACTTTCCAGGGTAGTTCATTTTAATGGCTAATTACATTCCCTGTTAAACTTAGTGCTTTTTTTCCCACTGGTCTTGCTTCACTTCCAACTACAACGTCAGGGGGGTTGTTTGTGTTTATGTCTTACTCCATTACTCTAAAAAAAAAAAAAAAAACAACAGTATTCTATTCGCATAACCAAATCAGCTCTCATTCTTCTTTTTCATGAGCTAAAAAAAAAAAAAAAAAACAACAGTATTCTATTCGCATAACCAAATCAGCTCTCATTCTTCTTTTTCATGAGCTAACCACACTAACTTCCTTAAGATTCATTCTGCAATGAATCTTCCCTTCAGAGCTGTATTTGCAGGCTTCTCCTGTTCCAAGCTCTCAATGTCATTTTGCAAGCTCTCAATGTCATTTTGAAAGGACTTCAGAACCACAAAAACATCTAAACTGATTTACAAAGAATGTATCCATAAGACATATAGAGGTAAAGATCACATCCTCACTCCTATTCTCCTGTCACTCATTCAAAGTTGGCACTGGCCGATACTACCTGAAGCACTCGTGTTGATCCCCAGGATCCCTTCTATCTCTTTGAAGTCACAATGGAGGTATAGCAACTTCTTTTATCATTGCAATAATGATCTTATGCCATTAGTTTGCTTTTAAGTATCCTAAAATAAATTGTCTGAAGTGATCATTTATTAGGGAATCTATATTGCTTTGAATTACTGCCCTGCTTTACTTACACTTTAAACCAAACATATTAACAACTACTTTTATTTATATCCGAAATATCTTGTCAGCTCACTGGAAATATTGAATCTAATTCTACTAGAAACACTGTCATGCTGTCATATTTCGCAGTTCAGTTTCTGGAGTGGGAAAAACAGAATCACTCCAAAAAATTCCTCAGTTCATAGCTAAACCACACATTGGCAGATGAGCCAAGGCCATTAGCATTGGAACCATCACATATTTTAATAGCAAGAGCTATTAAAAGCAACTCTTACAAAATTGCCCAAGCCCACCAAGAAGTTAGTAGCTGTATTTCTATTTTATCAGCATCAATATTAAACATGATATTGAATATACTTTGCCCAATTCATGGGAATTGCTTTACCCCGGTCCTCTTTCTGGCAGATCCACTTCTCCCGACAAAGGGCTGTAAACAGGAATACTGACATCGTAGCCTTGCCGGTAAGTCCATGTGGAAAAGCCTCCACCAGCCAGCAGAGCTCTGAAAAATACAAGGAAGCGACTTTAAACAGAGTATGTATACCATTCAAACTCGGAGCGCGATTTACTGATTGTCATTACCAGAACATCAACAAGACGCATGCTCTGAGATAAGTTTCTCCCTCAGCTTTTGTCAGTGGCATTGTTCATACAGTTTTTCAGTTCACTTTCGTTTTTGTGAACTGGGCTTACTGCCAGATTGGATCTAGTGATCAACCCTTACAATTGCGTATGATCACTGAGCAATGGACCATTTGTGCATTAATATAGGGAAATATAATCTATTGCAGTCTTATGATAATTTTGCATTTTTGCAAGCTTACATACCCTAAGTCAATTTTAATTTAAAGAAATACATTCTTAATTATTTACACTAGTTAACATATTCCTTGATGCCTGCACTAAAATAGGGTATAGCACAGCTCTCGAAGTGTTAGAGACAAGCTATATTTCAGATACAAGTCCAGGTACAATAACATAGTATTTTGGCAGCTTACAGTGACTCTGGACTTCTCAGGCTGGAAAACAAAACGGAATTGTTTGCAACTGTATTTTCAAAGTGATCACACAAACTAGTGAAATTTATTTCATTTTTATATTACACAAAAAAATGCTATAAACAGGAAACACGACAACAAGAACTCTGTATGTTCTGAAACTAAATTCCAACAGTAGAGGCTGCTTGGGACACTATGTGCTAGAGAGCATGGGAATCTAAAAGATTGATAAATTAAGATGTAATTCAACCTCCCAACTGGATGACCCTGATTGTCTGTGGCTTTTCCTAGATGGGACGACCTTTGCCACACAGAAGAGCTTTAAGAAACAGAAGAGAACAATGTGTACAGAAGAAAGCAATGTGTCATTCACAATGCCAGAAAAAAATGGCTTGTTACTATCTCCGATCCCAAATCAGGCTTCTTTGAACGATGCTAGTAGAGGACGTCAGCTTTTCAGTTGTCATTTTGTCTCCAGTGAGCAGGTGGCACCATGAACACATCATTCTATTTCCAAAAGAAGCTCAGATTCAGCTTCTTTAGTGAGACTTCTCAAACTGCTGATCAAACTTTCAGTCCTTTGTCACCAAACAGCAGGGTGTGCTATACTTTAAATTGCCCCAGGGATACTGGGTCTGCTTAAGGTACCATACAAAGTAGTTTGGAGAAAAATATTTCTCCAGTTCCAGTTTCTCTCCTTCTCTGTGGAAAGAAGCAGAACACAAAGACACAAAGACACCACTACACTAGGCACTATAGAAAGGCTCTTGAGGAGCTGTACCCATTGTAGCAGCTATGGCTACAGCCAAAAGCCTTATTATCACAAGCTTGCATACCATCACAGTTCAGATCTGAGCAGGCATGTCTCACCAGTAATCAGAACGGACACATCAGAACAAAAAGTCAAGGTGAGACTGGAAGAGGCACTGACAATCCATTAGTTGATATTCTTGTTTTCAGATATCACTGAATGAAATCCTTAGTATAGTGTTTGGAGAAGCACTTTTTCCACAGCTGTTATACAACAGATTATTATTATACCTAATTATCATCCAAGACCTATCATTTTTTCCCATCAGAACATGACACCCTGGATAAACACCAGTATGTTCTGCCTGTTCCAACCCCCGTCAGATGTCCCACAGGATACTTCACTTCCTGCTCTGACCTGCAGTTGTTCCGTGTTCAAACACCGGGATCACACTTTGCCACAAATGTGTTCACCCAAGCAGTCAAGCAAGCAGTCCTAAGTGTCATTTAAGAAGCTCTTTGAAAATCCCAGGCTCTGGATTAGAGGATCTGGATTAGAGATGCATTTCAGCTTGATGACAATTACAAAATCAAAACAACTTGCCCTTTATTACTCTTCACTCAGAACACAAACTATGGTAGGAGCAGAAATCAACTCAAGAACAGGATGATAAATCAAGTATGTGCTGAGTGAGAATTTATGTTCCAAATCAAGTGATTATTTTGGATTCCTTTCCAATGCTCCCCCCCCGCCCCACATTTGGTGACACATACAACGCTGCTATGCCTAGGTCTCACCCTTGAAGCTGCATGGTCCGTGTCTTACCCATATTAACTCAGTTACAAGCAGGGAGAAAAAAATTGGCTTGGGTGTTGCTGTTCTTGCACTTCATATCCCCCTCCTCCTTTTTTAACCCCCCCTAATTGGGAAACTACAACCAGATTGTTTTAATTGGATCCGGTGAAAACATGACAGCACCTCATCAGCCTTGAGAAAGCAGGTGTGTGTCATGCAGACTTTTACCGAAATAAACCCACAGGGAACCAACACCAGTTAAATAACTCCACTCAGTTTTCATTGTACAGTGCAGTAAGGGAGTAGAGATATTAACTCCTAATGTACTCAAGACAAATAATCCCTAAATTGCACTGATCATGGAGGAATGAGCCTGTTCCTGAGCAACTTTTCACCACTTTTCAGATACTGATCCTTCTTTCTCTCCAGGAAGTGCCCCAACTGGTCTGTACTCTGAATGTTTCTGCCCAGCAGCCATCATCATCAGCTTTCTGCCAAACTTTACAAGTCACTGAAACCCAATTCATTAACTGAAGCAGAACAAAAAAGTATCTTAGTTCATATGTTCAATTCTACAGCTACAGAGTAGGTTTGCAAAAGAAATCCTTCCATCCTCATTATTGTACCAGATTCAATAGCACTTATTAACAACTAATAAAGAGCTTATTTTTTAAGTTTTATGGCAGGAGATTACATATGTTATGGCAGCTAATACCAGCAACATAGCCTCAACGCCCACAAGGCAGACTTCCACCTTTGAAATTATGGAATAAAGCGCTTTTACATTGTCTTTGGAAATTGGATTTAAAGATTTAATAAACAAACAAACCCTTAGTGAGGTAACTTAGCTAAAGACTTTTCCAGATGTAAAAATATGATATAACTGAATTCCCCTTTGTGCACAAGGTCTTATTTTACCTGGATTGATATTCTGCAGCAAATCAACAGAGCACAACTCTATCAAACCTCACGATCCACTACCGTTTATCTATGTATGATCTCTGATATGTGCTGAACAGAGAAGGCAGGCCACACTCCCTCTGCAAACTTCACAAACATCATCTGTGTATTTCGCAAGCGATCCACAAAATCCCACAAATCCAGTACAGTTCAGACCAGTCATTCAAAACCAGCTGAACTCTGCCAATATACCTTTATTTTGGCCTGCAGTCTCTCACCCTGTGATGCTACAAACAACCGTCCTTCACACTTTAACTACCCATTCTGTAACACGTGTGGACATTCTCAAATTAAGAAAACACACCCAGGTCGCTTGTTCTGTTAGACATGAACCAAGATCTCCAGAGGTCTCCAAAATCATACTGTAACCTCATACTGCACCACTCAGGCCCTTCCAGGACTAGGTCCACAGTACCGACTTTTTCACAGATCCCTTGTCTTCGCACCCGTGACCTGTAGTACAGGTCCCGTACTACACCGCTGGCTGCCTTCAGAAAGGAGTTTCCACCTTTTCTCCGTCCCAAGCACTGTTATTGCCTCGCTTATGTATTACAGCTAGTGATCGTACAGCTGCAGGGTGAGTCAGTTTGGCAAGCTACGACAACAGCTGTATGCCAAAAAAGATTTGATTTTTTAATTCAAATTACTCGGCTTTCCATGTTAGCATGACAAACACCTACCAAAATAATACATTTCCTGCATACTAGGCCAAGACACATAAGGCCAAATAGAAATGGACATTTGACAAAAAAAGTTTAAAAAAAAAAAAAAGTTGTGCAGTGTAAGAAATCTACTGCATTCAATTAATAAATCTACTTCTTCGAAAGACACATGCATCCACAAACACGCAGTCCCAGAGCAGTCCATTCCATTAAACAGAGCACTGTCAAATGAAAATTCCCCTTAAGAAATATAAATCTTAAGATAACAAATACAGGTATTTACTGACAGATTAACAGGTTTGGTTACGTAGGAATGATGCTTGACTGCCCTCTTCAGGCTAACCCGCATACATATAATATATTTCATACAGAGAAGTAAAACAAAAGCCTTACTTCACAGTCAGTGATGAAATTACAATGAGTAAACTTACTCTTTGAACATGTCCAGAAAAAACATGTTCTGTTCTGGCATTGAAGGATGTTTTAAATCGTCTTTGGTGGAAAGAAATCAAGATACACTCCACACGCAATCATCTTAGCACAGATCCCATATCTCAGGCAAGATTTTGTTGACATTTGGCAGAAGAAAGCTAACCTTGACCTTCAAGAGAGGGACTGGTTACACGGGACCTAACTCAGCAGAACTAAGCACATACAGGCTAATCTAGTAGAAACATACTCAGTAACAGTATCTAAGCTAAATAAGTTTGTCTTACTCTTATTCCAGTTTTCTTTGCTTTACAACCTCCTTTCCTCTTCCAAAAGTAAACTATTCTGCAAGTGAAAATTGAGCTCAGGATTCACGCCTTTTAAGTTTCTGGCAAATATTTTCAAAACACACTTGCCAGAGAATAACTAAGAGCATTTGTCCGATTACTAATACATTGTAATTGTTAAGATAACAAAAACTATTGAAATTCACCATAGTTTTGTCAAGTAGAGCAGCTGCTTTAAAATGCCCTTGAAGCACCTGACTTCTATCAGAAAGTTGCAGCTACAATCATTTGGAACTTCTAATTTGCATCAAATGGGACACTCTGTAAAGCTTTCAGGTTCAGTAATACGCAAGATACAGGTCTAACCTCAAGGTTCTCCATCCTTACAAGCAAGCCCAACAGTTAAGAGCAAACGCTGACAGCCCTCTCCCATGTAAAATTAAGGATGGGGCTAAACTGTCAGATTTCAGGAGCAAACACTTGTCCTATACAAGACAGGGACTTCTCTACTTCCCTTTTTTGAGAAAAGAGGAAGTCATATTCCAGCTTTGTAAAGGTTAAGGAGCACATCCTTTGCTAATAGCTGCACTTCTGAGCTTGTTGCTTCTTTAATGGCATTTAAACCCAGATCTGTGCATTCAAACACAGCAAAACACATACCTATCTCTAGGAACATCTAGGGCAGTGTTATAATCCGGTGGCCCTCCAGGCAGCATATTGAAGAGCAAGTGATTTGTACCTCGATCCCACCTAAGGCAAAAGAAGAAACAGACAACAATTAGAAAGGTGTTCTCTACATACAGATGGTAAGTTCTGTCAAAGCTTAGCTCTGGCATTGACTCACTGCATCCTCCCCTCCTGTATTAACCTCATGTTTTTCCACTTTGTGTTCTTCAAATTCGCACACTGAAATTTCAGTAAGTACCTGGATAACTGTGCCAAAGCCTGAGCTGTCTCCTTGATACGGAGCGCGTTCTGATTGAGGACATCTACGGATGGCACAAAAAGGCAGGCCCGGTTGACATCGTCAGTGTAGAATTCGCTGTCAGAGATGGCAGTTAGCAGCTCATTGTATTCCCTGGAAATGGTGTTGCTCACTGACGTGCCATATTCATCCACATACTTTTTCAGTGAGTAGATGTATACCTTGATTTTGTTTTTGGGATTGAAGCCACATCGATAGACGTCGAAGCAGGTGTGCATCCTGCAGCTGAGGTCTCCCCGCTCAGGAATGGGGCTATCGGCGGGAAGCTTGACCACAGGCACATCATGGACACTGCGTTTTTCAACGGTCCAGTCACTGGATGACTCAATGGAGTGAGGCCAGAACTGGAACATTCCTGTGGCAATTAGGCCAAGCAGAACTATGGAAAAGAGAGTGATGTAGTAGATGCGATGCTTGGTTTTCATCCTTGGGATGAGGGCTGGACCCCGGGTGTTATATTTGGCCGACGCACACATAATGGAATCAATTATCTCTTGTCTCTACAAAATAGAAAGAGAGAGGTTTTAGGATGAACTCTGGAAGAGATACATAGTTATCACAATGCAGAGAAACATCCAGTTAACCCTTTCAAGACAGGTTCTTTGCCTCAGCAGATTACAGTAAAATTTCTTCAGATGCTCACGTCCCACCGGAACGTAAGATGCCAACTGGGACTGCCACTTGGCAAGGACAACATGAGGCTGATCTGCTGAGCCTGGTTGTGATGGCCAGTTAACAACCACAAGTCAGAAAAGGACGTGGCTCGGGCAGCGAGGGGAGGAATAAATGTCAGACACTACAGAAGTAGTGAGTCCTCGTAGGTGCCACTCCATCTACATCTAAGCATATTCATAGTGAATACTAATAAAAAAATAAAACGCTCATCTACAAGTGAAGAGAAACAACCTGGATACCCTGCAAAGGGCTTATAACGGGGCATCGCACAGAACTCAGGATCATGATATTGCTTCTAATGTAAAGGTGCTTTCAAACTGAATTTTAGAGGAGCCCCACATTATCCGACTAGAATGATGCTAAACTACTTCTGTAGGTATGTCAGGGATAAAAGGAAGACAAGGGAAAATGTGGGCCCTCTCCAGAATGAAACGGGATACCTGGTTACC